GTATATATGTTGTTATGTTGTAAAGTTGTGGTTGAGTTGTATGTTATTATGTCTTGTATGTTGAACCGTTGAGGATGATGATAATATTGTTGTGTTGTAAGTTGCTTATATATATATGTTAATTCTTTTCACTAGTTTACCCTTGCATGTTTCCATGTGGTGTGGACTATAATGATCATACTATGTATGGGAGTAGGATAGGGATAGGCTGTTATGAGCAGTTGGAGGCCACTTGGTGGTAGGAGCTGGAGTAGATGATTTTTTTGTAGGCTACCTTAGAGTAACATTTTGTTGGCATTTTATATATTTATTTGGCCTAATGAGCTTTTATGGTTGGATAAATATATGTATTTTCTTATTATACTATTTAATATATATATTTTAGCGATGTGTGGTATTGTTCTACAGTGTGACGGCTCTGGTGTGTCATTTCAGTGACTATGCAATGCACGCATTTGTGCACGTAAAGAATAATTTTATGATTAAAATATACTTTTAATCTTGTAAAAAGAATGAGTTTTGATCTTGATGTCTGAAATCTTTTTTATTTTTATTTTTTTTAAATTTATAAATTATTTTTGTTTCTTGTAATATACATTTATCCTTGTAGAATAAGTAGATTTTAAACTTGGTCTTTATAAGATATTTTTTTTTTATTTTTAAAAATCTAAAATTATTATTTTTCATCCCTAATAATTATTTTAAGTTATAAAGGTGTCACTCACTACCATAATACCACTAATAAGTATGAGTAATACATAAGATGATCACGTTGCCATTTAATAGATAAATAAATAATTAAAAATAATTATATAATAGTATCATTAATAGTTATAAATAATATCTAAAATGACTACTTGACATTTTAATAGACAAATAAATAGTTAAAATGATTATATAATAATAGAGATTAAAAATAATAGTTCTAAATTTTATAAGAATAAGAAACAAAGATTTTTTTTTTATAAAAATCAAAACTTACTCATTTTACAATGATTAAAAACATATTCAAATGTATAATTAATTAATTACGTGATAATTATTATATTAAAATCTAATCAATTACTTCTAATATATAATTACATGCTTAAAATTTAATTAATGATATATTTTTTAATTTTTTTATTTGAATAGTTTATTTTCTTTAATAATTTAAATACTTACAATATATATA